TGGCTCAACTGGACCAAGACAGTGACTTGTATCATTTGTTTCATTAATGAACTTTTTATTATACTTATTTTTTCATTAATTCTGTATCAATTATCTTTATTGTCAATTCTTTAATTGTAATGTAATCTGACAAAAAGAGAGCGCTGGCTACTTTTTTGAACCATGAGAATGTATTTCCTGCTTTTTAAAATTCTTTGTTGGCCAGGCACAGTGGCTCACACCTGTAATCAACACTTTAAGAGGCTGAGGCAGGAGGATCACCTGAGGTCAGGAGTTCGAGACCAGCCTGACCAACACAGTGAAACCCTGTCTCTAATAAAAATACAAAAATTAGCTGGTGTGGTGGTGGGTGCCTGTAATCCCAGCTACTCAGGAGGCTGAGGCAGAAGAATCGCTTGAACCCAGGAGTCGGAGGTTGTGGTGAGCTGAGATTGCATTACTGCACTCCAGTCTGGGTGACAGAGCAAAACTCCACCTCAAAAAAAAAAAAAAATTATTTGTGAGAAGTCCACTTTGACATATGTCATTTTCAATGACCTGCCACTTTTCAGGACTTTAATTGTATGAAAAATGGATATAAACGCAATGCCTCACCTGGCACCCGGTACATAGCAGGTATTCAATTAATGTTTGTAGAAGGAAGGCCTGAATGAACCCCGTTATTCCTGGCACCCAGGGGCCCATCCCCAGCCCAGGGCCTGATCTCCCTGGGGAGATGGAGAAAAGGTGGCATGGCCCCAGGGCTGAGTGCAGAGTTCCGGAGTCGGGATCTCCAGCAGTGGTTCACGCTTGCTCTCCTGGTAGCCCATCCCTGGCCCTGATGGTCTCCGTGCTGGGTGAGATTCATCACCTGAGTTAAGGCCTCGTCCCTGGGAAATGTAGCTGTTGACATCCGTCAACCCACCAGCAGGCAAAACACCACTTACAACTGAAAGAAGTGATCTAGGAATCCATCCTCCCGCTTCATCCTGGACCCAACCACAATGACGAGGTGAGGAAATGAGGTGGCTTCAGGAGCCAGGAAGCTGGGCTGGGCCATGTGATCTTGAGCAAGTCACTTCTCTCTGGCCTCAGTTCCCTTCTCTGTAAAATGAGGGCCTGAATAAATTGATTTCGACAGTCCCTCCCGGGCCAGGTATGCAGCTCTGGGTTGAGGAGGTGATAAGAGAGGCCATGGTGCATGGGCTCATCCCAGAGCAAAGTCAAGGAGCCGGAACAGTCTCAGAGGGAAAGTGAAAGGGGCAAAGCATTTTCCCATGGATCCTTTTTCCAAAGCCACCTGCCTGCCCCCTGCTGGTGAGGACCATCGAGGGTTCCAGATGAGACTAAGCCTGGCGTTTCCCTGCTTGTGGGCTATCACAGCTTTGAGCCCCAAAATCCAAGAGTCCTTCTCAAGAACTTCTCTGCAGTGACTCAAGGCCAGTGCAGGCTCCAGCAGAGACAGGGGGATTTCCTGACTGGCTGGGGGCAAGAGGCTGAGGTAGTTTCCTCTTTCTGAGAAAGAAGATGTGAATCCAGGGAGTTCTATTCTTGGTTAAATGAAAATACTCCCTTCTCCTCCCCGAGCTTTACCTGAGGGCTTGCAAGGACAGAGGCTCTGGCCCTCAGGAGGCCCCAGTCAGTACTTGGGGCTGGGGCACAGAGGGAGAAGCTGACCCACTGGACCGAGGTGTTTTCATGCTTCAGAGCAGCTTTTGGTCTGCAGAGATGTCTCAGCTAACACAGGTTAAGCCCTCCCCCCAGAGCAGGCAAACATTAAGCATTTCACAAGTATGGCCTTATGGAAGCTTTCTGACAACGCGGAGGTCAGGTGAGGAGAAGGAGCCCCATTTTACAGACGAGAAACCCGAGGCCCCAGAGAGGCGGAACACCTTGCCCAAAGTCCCACAGCAGATACAGGGACAGGAGCATAGGAAGCCACAGGTACGGGGGTACGGGGGGCAGTCATCACTGGGTCATAGTCACTGAAAACTGAGGATGAGGGGGCTGGGCCAAGTGAAATGGACTATTCAGCGAAGATGCCACGAGCAGACAGGTGGGGCCGGGGCCTGGTTAAGAAGCGCCCACATACAGTCAGAGGTGCTGAAAGAAAACAGGTCGAAGCCCTGGGTTCTGGAGAGGCAGGCCAGCTCCGCAGGCCTCTCCCTCAGTGTCCTCACCTTCATGCCCGAGGGAGGTGCCGAGTGAATTAAATGAGATAAGATATCCGAGAGGCCCTTAGCACAAGGCCTGGCACATAGCAAACACTTAAGAAACATCGACTGGACACAGTGGCTCACGCCTGTAATCCCAGCACTTTGGGAGGCTGAGGCAAGAGGATCACCTGAGGTCGCAAGTTCGAGACAAGCCTGGCCAACATGGTGAAACCCTGTGTCTCTACTAAAAATACAAAAGTTAGCTGGGGGTGGTGGTGGGCAGCTGTAATCCCAGCTACTCGGGAGGCTGAGGCACGAGAATCTCTTGAACTCGGGAGGCAGAAGTTGCAGTGAGCCGAGATCGTGCCACTGCACTCCAGCCTGGGTGACAGCACAAGACTGTCTCAAAAAAAAAAAAAGAAAAAAGAAAGAAACGTCAGCTAGCATTGTTTTTATTATTACTGAAGCTGTCCGTGCTGCCTCAAAGCACTGACACTTTTCCCATTTCCTGCATCAGCCCCTGAGGGCGGGGTTTTCAGGAGCAGGTGAGGAAATCTGAGGCTCACTGAGGGACCTCGTTCCCTTCATCCTGGAAATTCCATTTACAGGGGTGGGGCTGGATGCTCTATCGGTGCCTGGCTTCCTCTCCCGGGGCTGCAGCAGGAGAGAGAACACTCCCCTGTACCCCGTTTA